AAGGAAGGAAGGAAATGAGGGAAGGAGAAAGGAAGGAAGGAAATGAGGGAAGGAGAAAGGAAGGGAATGGGGGAGGGAGGAAGGAAGGAAATGGGGGAAGGAGGGAGGAAGGAAGGAAATGGGGGAAGTAGGGAGGAAGGATGGAAGGAAGGAAGGAAGGAAGGAAGGAAATGTTCTGCTCAGCACCACGTCTGTCTGTCCAGTCTTAACCTCTCGTGCTCTTTTCCCCCTGCGGCTCAGGCGCCCTGGGGGGAAGGAGGGAGGAAGGAAGGAAATGGGGGAAGGAGGGAGGAAGGAAGGATGGAAGGAAGGAAGGAAGGAAATAAATGTTCTGCCCAGCACCACGTCTGTCCAATCTTAACCTCTCGGTGCTCTTTTCCCCCTGCGTCTCAGGCGCCCTGGCGCTGAGGTCTTGCAGGATGAATCAGGCCCAGTTTTCAATTACATCCATCCACGTTTGCACTTTGTAAGCCCCACCAAGCAGGTGTCATATCCAAGAAATATCAGAGTTGTGGGTCTTTGCAGCCCTGCCATCTCATCCTTGCAGGATGAATCAGGCCCAGTTTTCAATTACATCCATCCACGTTTGCACTCTGTAAGCCCCACCAAGCAGGTGTCATATCTTGGGTCTTTGCAGCCCTGCCATCTCATCCTGTCGTGACCCCTCCACCATCACCTCTGACTTTCTAACTCAAGGCTTTTACCATTGGTAGTTCCTTTGCTTTCCCCTCCATCTCCTTTAAACCGCCTTCATCATTTGGTACCCACCACTATAACAGAATCTGGAATATACTCAGTAAACCCTTGAAATCCTTCAATGATAGGAAAGACAAAGCGAACTGTAACTTTCAGCCCTACCCACAAACCTCCTGGAAGGGAGGTGTTCATTGTGGATTATGGTCTACAAAAAACAAAACAAAACAAAAACTCTTGAACAACATTTGAAGAGCTTCCCGGGTGTTGAACCCTGGAGATGCTGGTTGAAAGCTGGAGGTGCCTGGCTTATGAGCTCCTGCAGGGGGAGAGAAGTTCCACATGCCCTACCTTGAGGGGGGCTTCTCCAATCTGATGCTCATCTACCTATTATATGTCTATTGATAAACCAAATAGGCTAGGAGTATGGCTAGTGGCAGGGCACTTAGCAGGCATGCGCAAGGCCCTGGGTTCCATCCTCAGCACAGCACAAAATAAAAAATTTAAATTCAGAACAAGAGAAATAAAGTTTCACTTTTAAAGAAAGCAGTAAGGGTGTTTCTATGGCTTACTGTGAGCCATCCAAGCAAATTACCAAACCGGAAGTGGAGGTTGAAACCTCAGTTTACCGGGGCTGTTCAGGAGCTCGGGTCACAATCTACTACTTGTTACAGGACACCCAGCCCATGGTCCTTTGCTGGAGAATTGCTTTATGCGGAAAGCACATGTATACACACGCATCTGGTCACAGACATGATCTGAGAGATCGGAAATCTTTTTTCCCTTACACCTATCCATACACCCAGAGAGTAGGAAACTTCCTCTTGTTTGCTCACCGCCCCACATACTTTGGTCTGTACATCCTTCAAAGAGCCCCTTGTGGTTGACGGGGGTGGGGCTCTGCTCCCCTGAGGCTCTGAGCCTCTCTAGGACATGGACAGGCTTTCTGTCTCTCTGTGCAGTCACCAGCAGCTCAGAGCCATCCCCCAGAAAGATCCACAGTTGTGGGCTTCTTGGTTTTAAAGGGGAAAGCAAAGCATATGTCCCAGCAATTTTCCCTTTATTGTTGAGGTGGGGCACAGGTTCTCCAGGGTAACTAGGGGCAGGCCAGCTTTCATAGTGCCTCAGGTTCCTCAGCCTGGCAACAATGACCTTATTCAACTTTGGGCCTTGCCAGCCTGTAAAATATGCCCCCAGCTGCAGGGAGTAGGCTGGCAGAAAACCAGAGTGGAACAGGGCTGAGAGGCAGGTAAGACTTCACCTGGAGGTTGGACAGCTCTAGAAAGACTTGGAAAGACGCCTCAGGCAGGTTCTAATCCCTGAAGTCAAGACACCAGACAATAACCACTCCAAGCACAGCCTCCCTCTTCTGTATACATCAGTCACTGTCTAACTAGAAAGTGGGTAAAACAAAAGCCACTTGCAGAGGCTAACGCCAGGTAGGAAGCTAAGCACCCCTGTGCTGTCTTCACTCTCTTTGGGGTAGATAAGATCATTCTCATTTCCCAGATAAGGAAACCAGGACTCAGAGAGAGTGCTGCTTAGAAAGTGCACAGTCTTAATTTCTGAGTGATTTCAGTGGGGACCTTAGCCCAGCTCAGCTCCGACTGGCCCAAAGCCTAGGTTTTTCCCTCTACAGGATGCTATGCTTACAAAACCCTGCACAGGACAAGAAATTCTCCTGGGGGCTCAAGCGGCTCCGACACCAAAGCAGCAACAGGTGTCCCTGTTCAGCTGTGACCTTGTGTCTCCTGCCCTCACGCTGGGACTTGCACCATGGATGTTCCTGCTTCTCAGATTCCATGCCTCTCCTGAGTCTCCAGCTTGAAGATGGCAGATGGTGGGACGTCTCAGCCTGCACAGACACAGGAGCCAAGACCTCACAGGGAATCTGTACATCCTGTGGTCGGTTCTGCCGCCCCAGAGTCCAAACATCAGAGTTTCTGTGCTAAGCAGCCAGTAGACCCGAAACAGGTCAGGAAACACTGTCACAGGGCAGACTGCATTCTCAACCTTGCCAAGTGTTCAAGGGTATTTAAAGGGAAAAGTTCTACACGGATGTGGTTTGACCTAGGCACAGTCCTGGCCTTTACTGTAAAAAAATTTTTTTCCTAAAATAACCGTGGTTAGAGGATGGTGCCCACTCAAAACACAATGCTCGGTCCTTCCACTCAGTATTTGTTACACCAATCCCCAATGGCTCCTCATCGCCTACAGAATAAATCCAAATCCTTGGGCAGGCACATCAGGCCCCCAAGGTCCAGCACCTCCACCCCTCTCTCGCTCTATCATTTTTCTTGGTGCTTCCTGTATTTGTTTCAAGCCTACTCCCCACATCCTTCAACTGTATCATCACCATCTCACCTCCAGCCTTCAACTCAGGAGTTCCTTCAACCTGATGCCCTCTCTCTTGCCCTCAGATCTGCCCCCCTCAGCCCAAGTACTCAAGAGCTCTGATGCTGTTCCTTGAACTCCACATAAAGTCAATTCTTATGGCTGGGCATCTCTGGCTCACTAAACTGAATTAGTGGAAAGAAACTTTCTCATTCATCTCCATAGCCCTGGCACATACATTTATTGGTTTAATAAAGTTTATTTTGAATTATGTGCCTGCTGTACAAAGAGACTATGTTAGGAGATACAAAAAGGAGCAAGGCCTCCAGGTGTGGTGGCACACGCCCCCAGTTCTAGCTACTCAGGAAGTGAAGAATAGCAAGACCACTTGAGTTCAGGAGTTCGAGGCCAGCCTGCACAACATAAACTCATGTCAGTGGGGGAGGGGGGTTTCAAAGACCAAAGTGGAGGGACTGACAGCAATCTGTTCAAGAGCTCAAATGCAAGACAGACTAGAAGCTGGGCTTGGCGAATCATACACCTGTAATCCCAGCACTTGAGAGGTGGAAGCAACAGGATAAGAAGTTCAGGGCCAACCTTGGCTACATAGTGAGTCCAAGCTAGGCTGGGCTGCTTGAGACCCTGTTTCATAAAGAAAACAAAAAAAGCAGAACCAAAGAAAACGAATGTAAAATAGTGTCACCTTGCCACAAAGGAGTTAATGTATTAGCATTCGGGGGGCGGGGGGAGAGAGAGAGAGAGGGAGAGAGAGAGAGAGAGAGAGAGAGAGAGAGAGAGAGAGAGAGATCTTGGCAGAGAAACCTTCCAGGAAGAGGCAGCATCAAGGCTAAAACGAAAAGATTTCAGCTGGTGGATTGGATGTTGAGAAAGCAAGATTATGTGATGAAGCAATACGGAGACCACAAGCTACACAGCGTTTTAGCCTTCAGTGCCAGGCTGAGGCATTTAGGTGTGTGTTTCTGTTTGGTTTTTTTGGTGGTCAGTAGGTCACTGGAGTTTCTGGAGAATGGGAGAGATAGGGCTCGAAAGCAGGATGGTTGATAGGCTGTGGGAAGAAGGGTACCTTGTTTGGTGATCCTGTGCAGTGCACATGTATAGGACACATGCAGGGCATTTACAGCTGCAACCACATCTGTCCAGAGCATAGGCCTTCCTGACACAACCCTCCGCCGGCCCCACAGCCCTCTGAACACTCCCTGCCAGCCCGCCTCTTTTCACCTTGTCCATAGTTGCAAAGCTGATGGCTTTCCTGAGTTGCAGGGCCCAAGATGCAGGCGACCTCATCCGTCTCTGTCCTTAACACACCAGGGAGTGCTGTGTACGTGCCAAAGTAGAGGTTCCTCTCTCCAGGAAGAGAGTGGCACCTGCCCTGACAAATTGCTTTGTGTCGCAGCCCTCTCCCCTAGTCCCCAATCCATCCATCCCTCTGAAGGTGGGTGTGAAACCAGAAGACTCCTCCCCTCCCTGGCTGTTTGGCCTTTATGGCAGCACCTCCTGGGATCCTATCACCTTCCTCCCCCCTCTCCTCTGCTCTCTGCTTGCCTAGGCCAGCCCTCCATGGTGCCTCTGTTTCCTTTTGGGGCTTGGACTTTCCATCCTTATCTGTGGCAGTCATTCTGACTTGATCCCTGAGAGACTCCATCTCAGGGATGCCATTGCTGCCCAGCCACTTCTCACTGCTGGGGAGAAGGAGCAGCTGTGTCCTTTGCTCTCCACTTTCCTCAGGGCTTCCTGTCCCACCGACAGTTCCCAGGTAAGAACTGTTAGCGCAAGTGACTTCAAACTGAAGGCCCCCAAATCAGTCCTGCAGAAGGAGTCCCAAGGTTCCTCCAGTCTTCAGGGTGGGCGCCCCTAGCAAAAAATGTCCTTTCTCTAGTCATGGCCCCTGCGAGCTGTTGTGACAATCTTCTCTTCTGGTACTCTGATTGGCGAGGACAGTGATGGACATGGCAATCACTACTACTACTACTTTGTCATGGGCCCCTGGGTAGCCCTGTCCCATTCTCCCCACAGCCTCCTCACTGTCCACTGCAAACACTGAGGGCTCTCCTTCTAGTTAGAACACCAGGAAAGCACCTTCATTTTCACAGCTGCTCGGCAGTGAGAGCCAAACTGTGACCACCGTTTTGAGATCGAAAAAGGCTGGCCTTGGGGTTGAGGGAAACACCCAAGGGAGTGTCCTATGCACAGACACAGGAGTCCGGGTCTGTCATCCTCTTACCCCGACAGAAGTTTCAAAACAAGGTCCAAGATTCCCACTGGGGGAGGTAGGGTGTTAACTTTGTTAACAGAAATGATTTCACAGGGATTTAGTGTGTGTGTGTGTGTGTGTGTGTGTGTGTGTGTGTGTGTGTGTCTGGGAGACAGGACCCAGGGCCTTTTGATGCTAGGCAAGTGGTCTCTTAATAAGCTGCACCTCTACCCTTGAAAGATTTCTGATAACAGGAATCCATGGCGCTTTGAATCCTGCACAGATGTTTTAAACCTTTCCTAACAAATGGAAAATTACATTCCAAGCCTTACTTCAAAGAAACAAGGGTACTTTGTTGAGAAATTCCAGGCAGATTGGCCCCAGTTATAAGGGTGAATACAGTCATTTCCTGGAGCTGAAGGGGAAGGGACAAGGTCTGACTGCTAGGCCGCTGGCAGCCTGTGGGCCCTTCACTTCCTCTAAACTGTTTACACAACACTCTTGGGGCCACATCTCAGAAAGCAGGTTCTGGCTGGACTGAGACTACCCTGTTCCTGAGCCTGGTCAGAGGTCTCCTGCCCTAAAAACAGTCAGAGGCACTCTGGCTGTACTGTGAGTCTTGGGATTCTGCTGAGAGGCCAAGGGAAACTTCTGGTACCTACTGCAGAGACCTCAGGCTGTGGTGGGCCACAGAAAATCTCCTTCTGCAGCCACAGGAGTCTCCCCGAGTCCGAGTCCTTGATTTGTACGTGGCTCACGAAGGACTTCCCGTCTATTCTTATTTATTTTCAGTTTGCATAGAGATGAGGTCTCAGTACCCCAGGCTGGCCTTGAACTCACTGGGTAGCCAAGAATGACCTTGAACTTAAAAAAAAAAATTATTTTTATTTTATGTGTATGAGTGTATTGCCTGAATGTATCTAAGTGCACCTGTGTTGTGTGCAATGCCCACGGAGGTCAGAAGAAGTCGGATTATCTTGGAACTGGAGTTATAGATAGTTGTTAGCCACCTAACAACTGTTTATGTGGGTGCGGGACTCGAACCCAGGTCCTCTGCTAGAGCAGCCAATGTTCTTAACCACTGAGCCATCTCTCCAGCCCCCAATCTTGAACTTTTGATCTTCCTGGAGTACTGGGATTACAGGTGTATATCACCAAGCCTGGTTTATATGGTTCTGGGGGTGGAATACAGGGTTTGTGCATGCTAGGCAAGCACACTACAAACTGGGATACAGTGACAGTGGCCCATCCTTGCTCTCAAAGAATTTTCACCCTAACCTGGAGAACGCCCAAAAGCAGAATACAAATTTTATCATTTTCCTGGCACACCACACAAGCACAGAATATTTACCTGCCTGGTCACACAGCTGGGAAGAGCCACATGCATTTCAAACTCTACTGGCTCTCATTTGCCTATGCCACTCTGCCCAGACATTCCTCCCCACAGCCAGGGAAGACCGGAAGAAAGTAGTTTGCTGCCCTTTGCTCCCTAGATATCCAGGGGCAAAGGTGATCAGGCCTGCATGAACCGTGTGTGTGTGTGTGTGTGTGTGTGTGTGTGTGTGTGCGCGCAGGGCCAAGTTTGGCCTTTGGTAGTAAGCGTGCAGTGGCAGGCCACCTCCAAGTGCAATTGAAGGGAGTTCATACCCCAGTTTTAGTCATAGGAGAGGCAGAAGCCTCAGAAAGGATGTTATTCATTCAGTGGGACCCAGAGAAGGGCAGGGAAGTGCTCCTGGGCCCCCTTAGAGTTTCAGTGGTGAAGACTAAGGGACCAGACTCTCCAGCTCAGTCCTGAGCTTTCTCAACAAGCCTGGGCTTTCCCTCGGCTTTGGGGTGTGGCTCTGCAGCCAGTCTCTGACTCCTGGGTTTTTCCACTGCGCCAGGCCTCTGGCAGCAGCCTTTACATGGGGTGGGGTGAGGGGAAGGTAGCAACTGGGCAGTGTGGACTAGCTCTACCCGAGGCCACACCCAGCCATTAAAGCTGCAGGACTGACTGGCAGAGCCCACCTCAGCCACAGCCGCCAGCCCCAGATGCCTCAGCCCTCAGGCTGTTCAGACCTAACCGAGCTTGCTCTTCAGCACGCAAATCCTTCCTCCGCCTTTCCGAAGGCGGGATGCTTGCTAAGTGCAGACGGGTCCAGGCTGTGCCAGCATCTCCATGGAAACTAGGGCCACAGCTCCCCGCCTGGATCCACAGCTTGCATACTGGAAGGGCTCCCTTGCCGACCCCAAGAAAGTTGGTTGTGGCAGCGGCCCCACACACCCACCACCAGCGGTGGCAGCACTTATGGAGGCTGCTCAGCCCTGAGACTTCAGACCCTGTTGGGAGTTGTTTGGGGAAGGCTAGGAACTGCCTTCTTTGGAGCTGGCGGGGATGATTTCTCTTGTGTTTAAACCTTTTCAGGTCAGTGGGTGAAAGTTAAAATTCCACAGTGGTGGTTGGCTTTAGACTTTGCTCACTGGAACTGGGTGTTGGGGTTGCCGGGGTCAGACTGCAATCCTGTGTTTTCTACCTCCATTCCATAAAGTGGTCTCTGGTTAGAGAAGACCCCAGATTCTCAGTTAGGGGCATGCTTAACCGTGTGGACTTAAAAGACGAGAGAGAGACAGAGAGAGAGTCAGAGAACATCAGTCTGTGTCCCGGTCAGTTCTTCAAAGAGGTGGGGGTGAAAGTGGGAAAGAGAGAGAGAGAGAGAGAGAGGAGAGAGAGAGAGAGACAGAGAAGGGGGGTGGGAGTCAGAGAACATCAGTCTGTGTCCCGTCAGTTCTTCAAAGAGGTGGGGGTGAAAGTGGGAAAACAAACCTGGAAGTTCTGCGGATTCCTCTAGGTCCTCAGGCCCATAACCCCGTCTTCCAACCTTTGTGGGGGACGGGCCTGAGCTGCTTTCCACCCCGGAACTCTGGGACCAGACAATGCAGTGCCTCCCCTGATCCCAGGGCCTTTCTGCCTCCCTCCCTCCCCGGGTCCCTCAGAGGCCGTGGGGTCTTTGTTCCGAGTGTTCTTTGGGCTTCTGTGATGCAGAATCCAGATTAGAGATTTGAGTAGAAGACAGCAGGGAGGAGGATTTAGGTCCTCGGGCAGTGAATTGACATAATAAAGGGGAGGGAGTTCTCAGAGGAGCTGGGGGAGGTGGCATTGGAGTGCGAAATTAGAAGACCAGCCTCAACTTCAGGGACTGAGACCAGAAGGGATCTTAGGAATGGGGGCTCCCCACTAACACTCTGTAGAAGGAAGGGTTAACCACAGACTTAAGCTGTTTGGAAATTACTCTTATTTATTTACACATTGTTTTGAGACAAGGTCTTGAGTGGCTGATATTCCTGTCTCCACCTTCCCATGTAAGAAGGTAGGGTTAGACTCTAGCAGCTGCTTTGGAACAGCTCACAGGATGCTGCTGGCAAGCTCCTGCCGGCACACCTCGGACGGGATTTCCCACCTGGGATGTGCAATACCATCAAAGGGTATTGATGTTAAGGTATTGGCGCCAGCATTATCTGGCTCCCCACCAGCTTCCCAGCCTCCGGCTGGCAAACCCTGAATCCTCAGAGAGCCTGACTTCAGGCTTGCTGTGAACCTCCCCCTCCTCAAAAGGTGTAAGAAGAGGCCCCCCCTCTGTCATGTGGGCTCTGATTCTCTTCAGAGACCCCACTATGCTGTCTGTCTGTGGTGCTGGGGCCTGAACCCTCCTTGGAGCTCCTGCTATGATGTTGTCCCTTTGTTTGTCTACCCATGAAGTTAATAACTCTTCTAATAAACTCGTCAGCCTGACAAGTGACTGAATGAACTGACCATTTTCCCACCCTGCCTCCCCACTCCAGGAGTGAGCTACATCTATCACAACACATGGCCCCTAGCAAAAGACATCTGGTTCCTTACGACCTTGCAGAAGATCCCTGGTTCCCCTATTAGAACTTCTCGTCTCTCCTTCCCAGATCCCAGGAAGGACTTTAACACCAAGAAGACACTACCCACCTTCTGGGATTCTGGGGAGGCATGATCCCCTTTCTGGGATTTTCTGGGCCCATGTATAAATCCAGACCTCCCTCGACCCCAGCACGCAACCGCCATTCCCGTGGGAAGGTTGTATGTCCCTCAGAGCTAATAAAGGTATCTGCATCTGTTAAAGGTCGGATTCTGTTTCTACTTTATCACGTGGTTTCTCAAATTCTAACAGTTAGTCTTTGTCAACCTATCTCAGTATATTCTTGAACCACCCACCCCATCCAAAACTAACTCCCAAGTGCTGGGATTTATAGGCATGCATCATCACACTTGGCTTGAAATTATTTTTGATTGTTGAAGGACACTTCTTAGTCTACTAGGACACCAAACCTCACGGGCCCAGCCTTTGTGAGAATTGCAATAATATGGCTGGTGAGATGGTTCAGTGGGTTAAAGGTTCTTGCTCTAAGGCCCGATGACCTGAATTCTGAGTTTGACCTTCAGAGTCTCAAAGTGCCAGGAGAGAACCTACCTACTCTCCATTTTTTTTTTCTTTTTGGATACAGGGTCTCACTATGTAGCCTTGGCTGGCCTGGAACTCACTACGTAAACCAGGCTGACCTGGAATTCAGAGATCTGCCTGTCTTTGCTGGGATTAAACACTCGCACCACCATGCCTGGCACTTACTGAACACTTAATATGAAATAAACCCTTTGAATGCATCGTCTCATTTAATCCTCACAACTATCCTTTGGCATAGGGAACGTGACCCCCATTTTACAGGATGTGAGTTTTAGGTAAAGCGACATAGTCAGATGTACAAGAGCTAGGTTTCAAAATCACGAAACGCAGGTGGTATCTTGGCATGCGTCTTCTGTGGAGACCTGGGCAAGCGACTGCCTCTAATAAGAGCAGGGACAGGGTGGGGTTGTAGCTCAGATGGTAGAATGCTTGCTTAGCATGCACAAAAGGCCCCAGGTTCAATCCCCCAGCACTGCATAAACCATGTACGTTGGTGTACCTGTGATCCCACCACTGGGGTGATGGAGGCAGGGGAATCAGAAACTCAAGGCCATCCTTAACTACATACCAAGTTCAAGGTCAGCCTGGGCTATGTGAGACCCCGTTTTGTTATTTTTATATTTTATTTATTATTTTTATTTTATGCGTATGAGTGTATTGCCTGCATGTATGTGAGTGCACCCATGTCATGCAATGCTGTAGAGGTCAGAAGGGGGTGTCAGATTCCCCTGGAACTGGAGTTAAGGACAGTTCAAAGCCACCATGTGGGGCTGGGTATCAAATCCAGGTCCTCTGCAAGAGCAGTCAGTGCTCTTAACTGCTGAGCCATCTCTCCAGCCCTGAGACCCTGTTTTTTAAAAGAAAAGCAGGGATATTGCCGCTCAACAGGCTCCCAGGTGAGCTGCCAGGCTCTGCTGAAGAGGCTCTCGGTCACCTAACTAAGCAGAAAAATCAATGAGGCTTTCACAGCTGCATGGAGGCTGCCTACTCACCCCGCTGGGCCCAAGTGCATTCCGGAACAGCTCCTGACAACCTATTTTTGTGCCACTTTATCAAGTCATAGGAGCAAGGTGGGGATGCAGAACCCAGGGGTATGACGTGTCCAGGGTGATTGCCCTGAGGAGGCCTGGCCTTTCCTTCTGCCCAGGCCTTTAAAATACAGACATAGCCACTGTTCCTCACACAGAGGTGAGATGCTTAGCACTTCCAAGGGACAAAGAGGAGCAGGCAGCAGGGCCCCCAGCTGTAAGGCACTGTCCTTCAGGAGAGTCCTAGACAGTAATTATCATGCAGGGGCAGCCCTAGAGGTTGGAGCCAGACAGACTCCTGTGCTTCTAGGCAAGCCATTTTTCCTGATAAGTCTTGAGCATCCTTGAAACAGGAAAAACAACAGCCTCGCCACACCACACAGGCTACCTTAGTGTAAACACAGACCTGGCACAGGGTGACCGCTCAGTAAACCACATTCCTACTGCAGGAAATGAGTTGGAGGGGAATTTGTGATCTATATTCTAAGGTTTGTTTTATCTATTTTAGACTGCCAGTGATGCTCATAATTTATGTGTGTATGTATTTCTGAAGCAGGACCTTACTCTGTAGCCCATGCTGGCTTGGAGCTTACTGCTATGTAGCTCAGTCTGGCCTTAACTCCCGGCAATCTTCTACCTCTGTAACACAGAGTTCTGCACCAGGGCCTTGTCCTGACTGCTTGCGCAGAGGCAGCTGCTCCAGAGCCCGCCTGCTCCCTCGCCTCTCATTTTTTTTCTTGAGGAGGAATGGATTGTACTTCATACTCAGTACTAGAGTCCTATGCACACAGGATTGGGCTGGCCATTGCCATTTAAAAAAAAACAATATTTTACTTTTATTTTATGTGTATGCATGTATTGCCTGCATGTGTGTATGTGCACCCATGTTGTGCAATGCCCATGGAGAACAGAAGAGGCCATTGGATCCCTAGAACTAGAGTTATGGACAGCTGGTAGCTGCCATGTGGGTGCTGGGAATCTGGGAATTCTGTAAGAACAGCCAGTGTTCTTAACCACTGAGCCATCTCTCCAGCCCCCATTTCCACTTTTTTATGGTGCTCTAGTCTATGATGTAAACCCATGTTTATGACTATTGCCACATTCTAGCTGATCTCTTCCTATCACAAGGATTCAGTCCTAGAGGCTACGGCCTCCCTCATACTTGGGTCAGCTGTCCTTGCAAAGAGGCAGCCATATACTGTCCACACAGGGAGAGTTGAGGCACAAACCTTCTAGAACACGCTCACTCCTTGCTTTGGCCTCACACGGCTCTAAGTCACATTCCTGGCTCTGCCACTCACAGAGAATTTGGGCAAGTTACTTGATTTTTAGGGTGACTGTAGAATGGGGACACAATTTTATAGGTTGGTGTGAGGTTTAAATGTAAAGGTCTGAGCACCTGGTAGGTGTTCAGTTAATGGTAATTCCTTCTTTTAAAAAATCACTTTGAGGGGCTGGAGAGATGGCTCAGCAGTTAAGAGTACTGACTGCTCTTGCACCCACATGGCGGCTATGAACGTCCTTAACTCCAGTTCCAGGGGAATCCGAAGACGTCTTCTGACCTCTGAGGCATTGCACGACACAGGTGTACTCACATGCATGCAATACACTCGTACACATAAAATAAAAATAATGAAAATTTTTAAAAATCACTTTGAGTAACGTGCATGCAATACACTCGTACACATAAAATAAAAATAATGAAAATTTTTAAAAATCACTTTGAGTAACGTGCATGCAATACACTCGTACACATAAAATAAAAATAATGAAAATTTTTAAAAATCACTTTGAGTAACGTGCATGCAATACACTCGTACACATAAAATAAAAATAATGAAAAATTTTAAAAATCACTTTGAGTAACGTGGACCACTGAACCGAAGATGTACCAGTGGTTCTCAGGAGGCCAGCATGGAGAGGGCTGGCTCAGAGGAGTGAGGAGACCTTGACACCACTACTTCCCAACCTGTGGCCGCCTTGACTCTGGTGTGTCAGTAGCTAAGCACTGAGCCTCTTTACTTCAGAGCCTCAGGAAGGAAGGAGGAAAAGGATTAGTGTGTGTGTGGAGAGAGAGAGAGAGAGAGAGAGAGAGAGAGAGAGAGAGAGAGAGAGATTGCTTTCTAGTCATTGAAGGGAACCTTTTACCAGCGAGCTCAAACCAGAGCTTCGTCCCACAGGAGGAGGCGGCTGGTGTCCAACAGCCCTTACAAGTTCCATTCTAGTCATCGAAGGACCACGAGGCAGGAAACCCCAGCATTGGGCTGTTCTGGAAGACATATCCTAAAGTCCACTCTGTATCAGGCAGTCATCAGCAGGGGCCCTCAGCAGCTGAGTCATCACTACAGTGCAGAGTCTGCTGCGTTCACCAGGCCTGAACAGCACCTGCACACTACTGTTCACGTAACACTTTGCTTTAAATTGACTGTTTTACTTAGAGTCATCCTTAGCAAGATATGAACTTGATAATACATTTTATTTTTATTATTTATCTTTACTTTCTGTGTTTGAATGTTTTTGCTGCAGGTATGTAAGGGCACCAATACGTACACACAGCGGTCAGAAGAGGGAATTGGATCTCTTGGATCTGTAGTTACAGAAGGTTGTTAACAGCCATGTGGGTGCTGGGGACCAAACCCAGGCCCTCTACAAGCACAGCCAATGGTTTTAATTGTTGAGCCATCTCTCCAGCTCTCACTCTTTTTTTTTGGTCTTTTTGAGACAGGGTCTCCCTGTAGCTGCAGCTGACCTGGAATTTGCTATGTAGACCAGGCTGGCCTCAAAGTCATGGAGATCTGCCTGCCCCTGCCTCCCAAGTGGTGGGGCTAAAGGTATGTGCTGCCATACCGGGCGAATGTACTTTTTTTTAATGTAAAACTGTATTTTGGTTGGAGAGGGAGAGCACATTCAATCCCCAACACAAAAACATATTTCAACTATAGTTTAAAAAAAGTAACTGGCCGGGCATGGTGGTGCACACCTGTAGTCCCAGCACTTGGGAGGCAGAGGCAGGCGGATCTCTGTGAGTTTGAGGCCAGTCTGGTCTATCTAGTGAGTTCCAGGCCAGCTGGGGCTACAGGGAAACCCTGTCTCAAGCACATTCAGAGCTGGTGAGATGGCCCAGTAGGTAAAGGAGCTTGCTGCCAAGTCTGACAACCTGAGTTCCAACCCCAGAACCCACATGGAAAAAGGAGACAATGATTATAAGTTGTTCTCTGACTTCCATATGTGTGCTGTGACACACATGTGCACCCCAAAATAAAAAATAAATATAATAAAAATAACTAAAAAGCGACCTCCCTCTGCTTCCCTGGGCCTGCATGACCTGCGGGCCTCTTTCCAGGGTAAGTCGAGCCTTGACTCCCCCAGCCTCATTCACCCTCCCATCTCCCCGACGGGTCTCTCCTCCTAGCCTGGGTCCTGTCCCATTCCTTGTCTTGGGACCCCAGACACCTGGGGAACCACCACTGCTTCCTGATCCTTTGCATCCAGAGCAACTCAGTTCCTTCTGGGGTCCCCAAGAGCACTCTGGTCCTGGCCCCACTCTCACCTCCCTCTGTTTCACTGGTCTGCACAACCCTCCATCCACTCTCCTGGGAGCCCTAGGTGCCTGGTCCCGTCTTCACCTCCCT